GGGTGTTCAAGATCAGTTCAAAATGCCATGGAATAAGCATCAAACATTTTCGATGTGAACTCTGCAAGATTATCAAGTCTAATTGACTTTATCAGATAATTCGGATGATGAGCCCTTAATTTAACTATTGTGTTAGGAGTTTAGGAAATTATGCATTTCTTTTGGAAAACAAAGCTACATGTAATGCCCGTGTTTCTAGGCTAGGCATTAATATTGGTGTGATAGTCTAGGTTAACCCTTGTAACTCATTTTGAAGAAATGAAAAGGAATTATGTGAATATTATGTGTTTTATGCTTAATTACTAGGATTTAATTAATTAAGAATAAAAATGAGCATCGGAAATAAATAGTAGATAAAGCCGATATCTATTAAGAAAGTTGTAGTGGTCGTGACAAGGATTACGAATATATAAAGAATACCGAAATCCGAGTTATAACGACGAAGTTATGACCTGTCGAAGTTTCGCGACAAAACCGGCACGGTGCCGAATGACGTAAAAAGTGAGTTTTTGATAAACTACTTTTTAGCCTTAGTGATCTAAACGAAAGTCGCAGTGTTCGTTAAACCGAGAGTATGTATAAAAAGAACGCCCAAATCTGACTTCGTATGAGGAAGTTATGATTTTTCTAAGTTTCAGCTTAGCAGTAGACAGCTAAAAAACTCGAATTTTAGATCGAGTGATTTTTAGCCGACACAACCTAAACGAGAATCGAAGGTCTCGTCAATAGTAGTACAACGGTAAAAAGACAGACGAAAACGGATGTCGGATGAAGAAGTTATGAATTTTTAACGGATTTCCTGTCCCGGTCTGTTAAAAATAATAATATAAAAATTAAAGTCAAAATCAGCCGACGGATTTTAAACGAAAGTTGAAGAGCGTAATTTTACCTACGCGTGCATATAAAGAACGTCAAAAACGTAGCCCGTATGCGAAAGTTATGGATTTTAGAAGTTTTTGCACAAAAATCGAGAAAATTCGCATAGTCATGCTTCGGCCACGTCACCTTCGCTCCATGCATGCCACGTGTCCGAAATTGCTGAGTCATCCGAAGTTTTGGCGGCATCCGAGGAGACGTGTGTGCAGCCTCGTCCGAGCCTCGCACCACCTGCCGCCGTGTTCCGACCTTCGCACCACCTGTCTCCCTTCCCTCTTGCTTCGTCCGGATTCCGAACCCGACCTCGGACCTAGACTTCGGTCCAATCAGAGGTCAGCAGCTCACCCCTCGCACGTGCGAGCCATGTGACTCCTCTTCGGATCTGCTACCACCTGGTAGCCTCTCAGCCATCCGATCAGAAGCCTCGCCCCTATAAATAGAAGGGTGCGAGACCTCCCGGGGATAATTTGGAAATTTGTCAATTTTCACCTCTTTCAATATTTCTTTCATTCCAACTTCCCCCAAAGCCCCGGTATCATACCAAACACCCGAAACACGTCCCGAAGTGCCCGAGAAGCCCGAGAAATTTATCTTTTCGGTTTTGAAGCCCAACCCTCGCAGAGCCCGGTTTCTCAATAAAACTCCCGGTTTTATTAGAAACGATCGTTTTAGGAAACGAAGTGATGCCCGATTATCATTAAATCAAGTGAGTGTGTAGTCACTTTCATCTTACACCTAGATATGAAGTATTTTCTATAAAATACGTGCTATGTGTATTATATTAATTGTTTAATTGAGGTGACTGTTGAATGGATGTTTTATACAAGTTTTAAACTGTATATGTATTTTATCTACAAATATGTTGGGTAGAACATGGGTAGACGAAATAGTCGATGTGTGTTAAAATGGTGAGAGGCCTCGATGTTGTTGTTATTGTTGTTGTTGTAGTCGTCTAGCGGAGTATAGATAACGACCACAGACCTTTCTAGACAGTCCAGTGGAACACTAGCAGGTTCGCAACTTGTAGGTGTTGGTGAACTAAATGTTCATTGGCGTACTCCATCCCCCTCATGGTTGCCTTTAGGACATGTATGGCGGAGGAGTCCCCTTAGCAGTAGTGTCCATCCCGATGATATTCCTTAGGCTAGGTCCCTTGTGATAGGTGTTTAGGGACGTAAAGGTAGGGATAACGGGAATGAGTAATCAGGGTTATTGTTGATTGGTGAACTTAATAAGTTTATTATTATTGTGGGTTGAAAACCCTATATGCTCACCAGGCTCCCAAGCCTGACCCACTCAGCTTTTTATGTTACAGGTAGTGGACCCCGAGCATAGTCGGAGGATGATGAGAGATTTTTGGATTATAGGCCAGTAGTTGTAAATAACTGTTGTAAGGCTTATAATGTCTTGTTTATGCTTTTGATCTGTATCGGAACATGACATCCCGAGGTTTCGATATAAAAGGAATTATATATTCTTAAAGAAAGGTTTGATAAACTTTTATCATGTTTTGTTTTGGGGACCAATTCCGCAACATCTTTTAAAAGGATTTCTCTGATTTTATTTTAAAAGCATAAATTAAGTCGGTCTTTTCTGGCCGAGAAATTAGGGGATGTCACACTACATGTGACCATTGTGTCTATGCATAAACCAGTTCTGTGAAATATTTAAATGGCCGCATGTTTGTTTGATAGGTCCACATATAACCCCTTGAATTCTCATAAGAAAACAGGCAATCACTTTTATAGATTCCAGGTGAAGTTATTTGAGATTTTTCTTTCGAATCAAGCATGCTCGACATAGGCTTTTTGGTTTAATCATGAAGTTCTTTCCTGTGCAACAGGATGCCCATGATATGATTTTATTGTTCGAAGCATTATATTTTGATCCAGGTGTCACAGACGGTTATGCCATAACATATAAGTGCCCTCGTCAATGGGTGCTCGACGAATGATTAGATTGCTTTAAATGTTTTGGATGGTGGTAACATACAAACCATTTGACGAACATTTTAACTTCTCCACTATATGCTTTTGGTAGTAGTGAGTGGAGGTAATGTAAATGTATACAATACCATATTCTCGAGCAGTTTCGAGATGAAACTTGTTTTCTCGAATATCCTTAAAACTCAACAAATTTCGACTAAACTTGGGCAATATAAGGCTTCATTTATGGTTAACGGAGTACCATTTGACAACATAAATTGGGCTTTACTAAAGCCTTCAACAACATAAATTAGGCTTTACTAATGTAAACAATATTGAGTAGAGGTAATGTAAATGTATACAATACCAGTGTAGTTTGAATTCTTTTTTATTTAACTATCGAAAGAATTTTTTTTTGCTAGTTTCACCATTGAAAGTTTGATTTTCTTTTTTTCAAAAAAAATCACTCTAGGTTTTTTTTCCATTAGTGAGTTGCAAATGAAAAATGGAAAATTATTTTTTTCAGTGAATTATGGTTTTGTTAAAAAAAAGTTCGAACTATCGATGGTTGAGTTTAAAATATAAATTTCTTTGAATGGTTAGATCAAACAATATTCAAACTCTCATAGTTTTATAAAATACATAGTTGGTCTTTTAAAAAAAAATAAAAGAAAACTCTCAATGGTTAACATAGAAAAAAAATATTTCAGTGATTAAGTCGGAAAAAAAAAACCTACAGTGAATTTAGTGGATTTTATAAAATTTGGCAATAAGATAATATAACATACTTTAAACACTGTCCATTTGACTTATTATCTTTTCTAAAAAAATTATTAAATGAAATATAAGTATAATCAGTTAACTTTTATTGAAACTAGTAAAGAACCCGCGACTATGCCGCTTTTGGGGTATTATGGGAAAAATCGGCAAATTTTAAAAGTTATGTATTGAAATTGTAAATCACCACAAATAGGGGAGTAAGTTGACACCCCCTAAAATTTGTACAACCAAAAAAAGGGACATTGGTGGATAAAATCCAAGAGTGTTGTGACAATAATGTTAAAGTTGTCAAAGTTGAGAAAATATGGTGGCAAAATTCAAAAAGAGGTTTTTTGTGTTTTTTATGTCAAAATGTAAAAGTTTTGACTACAAGGACGAAAAGGTCAAATTCATTAAAGATTTGTGGCAAAACACCAAATGTAAAACTTTTTCACTGCAAGGACTAAAATGTCAAAGTCACTAAAGATTTGTGGCAAAAACCTAAAGACACAAAAACTTAATCAAAACATAAAAATGTAAAGTTTTTGACTTTAGGGACTAAAAGTGTCAAATTCACTAAATTCTTGTGCAAAAACCTAAAGGTAAAAAAAGTATTATGCTAAGCTCCTTGGATTTAAGATATATAGATATATATATATATATATAGATATATATATATATCATCGGTGGATTTTGTTATATTTTAGATTTAGTGTTTATGATTTTTATATGGGTTTATAATTAATAAAGAGTAGCTCTACATAGAGTGTTTGAATTTTAAATGATATTCATATGAAATGTCAATCTATGCCCTGTATAATTAATCCTCGGGTGTTTGTTATTGTTTATTTGAAGTATTTATTGATTTATTTCAATTTAACATTATAATAAGAAGTTTTTATTGTTTGGATAAAAAAAGATTTTTATTTACTGATTTAAATAATAAATTTTTGATAAATCAATTTCTACTTACTTATTGAATTATTTAAAAAAATTTTGATAAGTTGTTTTATTATTACACATAAAATAAGAGTTTGTCAAAAATTAAAAATAAATTATCAATTTATTTTGTTTTGATACCAAACAATTTTGATAAAACTTCGTTTTAATATAAAATAAACTAAACACTTTTCAAAAACTTCATTCTAATATCAAATAAGTTAATAAACAATTTTACACATAAGATAACAAACACCCCTAAATCAATTAGTTATACTCTTTAGTTATACTTAGAATCTATATACATATAAAGTCAACCTTAGAAGTTAAAAAAGTTAAAATCATATTCATTTTAGAAATTAACATTAACTTATATACTTAAATAGTTCCACATAATCAAATTCCCTTGGAGTTTGATATGACACACTAAAATAAAAGTGGTAGCAATAAGAAACTTTTAGTCAGAATTACAGTACCATTAGCATACGTAATTACATTAAATTAATAAAGGGTACAAACAGTTTTTGATCTTTTGTTCAAAGTACCATCAAGATTCAAATCAACTTCAACATCACCATTGTTATTCCTGCTACTAAGGTTCATCTTCCTCTTTACATTCGTCGGACCAGAACTACTGAACAGCTGCGCCACCGAAGTCACCACATGACACTTGTTAGTGATAGTAGTAGAGCTGCCTGATTTTCTCTTTTTGCCTTCCGCCGACGACGACGACGATGTTGTCGGGGATGTGGTGGTGGTAGACAATGGGAACACCGAAGGTATCTCGAAGTTGGTCCTGGCCTTGGATCCTCTTAGTCGCCTTGCCGCAGCGTCGTACGCACGCGCCGCCTCTTCGGCAGTGTCAAACGTCCCAAGCCAGTGCCGGCATCGTCCTATCCTGTCACGTATCTCAGCCGACCACCTCCCCCACGGCCTCTTTCTCACCCCTCTATAATTCTTCTCCACGCCGCAACCGTGCTTCACCGCATGAAATTTCATTTCTTTGTCGCCATCCTTCACAAGACCAGAACCTATTTGATTACCAGCGGTGTTTGCAGACTTTCCGAACAGAACACTTTCTCCGACGACTGCTGCGATGCCTTCAAGAACGGCAGGATGGTCGTATTCTTGAGATAAATCAGTTTCCGGAGAAGGGTGGTCTGGAGTTAATGGGTTGTTGAAGTAGAAGTGAGGAAATTGATCATGTACGGAGAATGGTTTTGCCGGTTCAAAAGGCAAAAAGGGAAGGGTTTGGAACAGGGTGTTCATTGTTTTGAAGATTCTTCTTTATGTATCAATGGAAGCTTACACACACACATACGAGCTGTATGTACCTTCGACTTGTATGCTAGTGGTAAGAGTAAGATAAAACAAACAGAAAGAAGTATGTAGTGTGCATGGGGACTGATGAATCGTCTCCAAGCCACTATTTATACTCACTTCAACCCGACCCATTTTGCTCACGAATCAAATACATTGTTGTTTATATAAAGTTAATATGGTATATTGGTATTTGAGTCATTAGTTTTTTACACTATATGAGGTCTGCAACTTGTCATTTCATATTAGCTAATCACTATACTATCCGAATTAATGGTGTCCCTCAACCAAAAGAAAAAAATTCAAGTGTCCTTGGAGATATTAACGTGTAGATTTAATAATACGATGGGGTCGATGTTTTAGCCGTTTTAAAAAAAATAATAATAATAACCTACTCTATTCATAAGACTGCTCTAGGAAAAAAAAAAAAAACAATCAAACATGAGTTCATTTAAAAATATGTTAATGTCTCATGATCTGGGTTTAAATGATGACATTTATATATGCCCAATTTTTTGATGTTAAATCAGTGTACTTTTGGACAATTAGTTATTATATTTATGAAAAATATTAAAACAACATTAAAATATGTGATAATAACAAAGATACAAAAGCCTGCGGATTTAGTTGTAGTAAGTTACCACTTGCAAACTGCTTTACCAAAAGGAAAAAAAATAAAAATAATAAAAATAGTAAAAATAAAAATAAAAATTAATAACAAGACTTCTACCACCGAAAATTCACTAAATTTTATTTTTTTCAATTTTCACATCGTTTTTTTTGTTCCAATTAAGTCATTATGTTTTCAATTTGTTGCAATTCTGACAGTTGACCGGTTTGCTTCAGGTCATCCAGTTGTCATTACTGACGTGATATGATGATTCATCAGAAGCGGAAAAAAAAAAGTTACGCAAAGTTCATTATGTTGACATTTTTTGCGATATGAACACTAAGTTTTCAAAAAAAAAATTAATTTTACATTAAGTTTTCGATGTTATCCAATATAATATATAAATGAAATAAACATATCCAATTTCCACCCCCATTAATGAAAATCTTTGTTTGTATATAGTTTTTGTTTATCCTATATTTGTAAATAAGATTTGAACTATAACACCTTAATTTGTCACAGCATGTATCATTTGGGTTTCACTTATTCCTTGATGGAATACTTTTACTAACTTGTTTGTCCATCCTCCCTTTTTCTCTGACATTTAACTTGTTTTCATAACTCAGAACCATGTCTGCCTTTTGGTCATAAAAACATTTGTAGTGCATGTATTTTGACTCAAAATTAAACCATATATGCCTTTAATTGATCTTAAAACATAAAGAGAGAACCATGAATCGAATTAAAAGAAAGAAAATAGAAAATTAACGACCTACTTGTGCTTTCCTGGCAGTATAGATCGCATAGAGAGGATGTGAAGGTACAACAATGGCAACACCCGAACCAATATTAACAATGACACCTCTTTTCCTTTCCAACTATTCCTTCAATCACAACTCCTGTTACCAAACTCGTACCTATCACGTTCACTTCCATCATATTCATCCAAAATGCTTCTTCAACCTTAACTCACGTCTAGTTGATCACTATAAATCACTGTCTGCATCTCCTTCACTCCGGCCACCAAATTCTTATTAGGAACTTCTTTAATCTTGGATAGGTATCCGCTAACCAAGATTAAGTGAAGACCTGTTTGAGCTAGTTGAAAGGCACATGCTTTGCCTATGCCGTTGGTTTCTCCGATGGGCGATAACCCATGAACAAAAGGTTTTAAGGTTCTTGAGTGGTTGGAAGAAAGTGATGAAACCCCATTTGAGGAGAGTGGTAATGAGTTTGAAAAGAGAAATAAAACCAAGTACAGAAAATGGAGCAATTATGTCTTTGCATATGTTTATTTCGTTTATATTATTTTTTAGTCTTATATATATATATATATATAGATATATATATATATATATATATATATATATATATATATATATATATATATATAGTAAGGTCACACCTTATGATTTGATGAGTCAAACACTCTACACATCTGTCACTATCAGCGTATACTCTACTACCAGCACCAGCAGATCAAGCTTATCAACGTCAGCACTTAGTATAGTTATTCTATCTAATCTATTTGTATATTAGGTGATGATATAGATAAGTATAGAATAGATAGCAGATCTAGTATATTTGTTATAAAGATCGGTTCTTAGTATAGATAAGATACAATCCCTTAAATCATGGGATTCACATGTATAGATTAGTAATAATCTACACTACGATAAACCCTAATGTAGAGAGTTCGGCTTTGGGTCAGTCGTCTTTGTGCCAACCCATCTTCTTGGCGAAGACAAAACCCTTTCTTTGTGAAAGAACAATTTAGAGAACTCTCTACGTCATTTACTTTATGTTCTTTATTTTCTTAGATTAAGTTTTACTTTCGTCTTTATGATTGAAGTGTATCCGATCGATACAAACCTTCAATTAGTATCAGAGCAGGTTTGTGATACACTAAATCAATCATGTTGAATCCCAAATCCTTTGGTCTCAATAAAATTCCTCCCTTTGATGATTACAATTTCGCTATGTGGAAGACGAAGGCAATGGTTGTTCTTGAAACCATTGACTATGAGATGAGAAATAATGTTGAAAAAGGTCCCCATGTTCCTATGTACCAACCCATGGCCAACAATGCTCTCGTAGGCCCTCTAAAGAAAATGACAGAGACGAGTTATGATGACGATGACAAGTGACTGGTTAGTCTTGATGTAAAAGCCAGGGTTGCTAGTGGAAACTCTCTTCTATACCATGTCACACCCCCAAACCAAGGATGGCGGAAACGTCCGGGGGTGGAGGACTTCATGTATAGTATCATAACAACAATTGTAATAGTAATTCAAGCAAACACAACCAACATATATATAATTGAAAAAAAGTTACATCATTGTATGAATTACATGTTTACGAATCAATTACAATATATTGACAAAATATGAAATAGTAGACGCCTTAGCGTCCCATCCTCAAAAGCACTTGATTACCTGTTTGATGATTTCCTGAGAATACAAGTTGTTTGAAAAAGTGTCAACACAAAGGTTGGTGAGTTCATAAGCTTTTGTTTGGTATTATTAAAAGCCTTTCGTTTGTGAAAGTAGTATTTGTGTTAGAAAATCCAATATTTTCCTTAATGTGTAAATGTAGTCTTAAAACCCAAAGACCGAAATGTACAAGTAATTTGTCATATTTATAGTAAAACCATGCAAGTTTAAATCGACATAAACTCGTTAAATTTTAATGAAGTTCCCGTAAATTCCAATGTTTATTAATACTTTATGTGAGTTATTATAACCATGCTATGACCTAGTTGGCCTGAAACGACGTTCTTCAGGCGTCGGAAATGTTATGACATTTGTCACCCCGGACCTGCCGGTCTAGCTGTTGCATGCAGCTTAGGTGTGGGTTTGTCAAACCCAATATAGATCTATACACAAGTATCACGCTCTCCCTCAAGGAGACTCTGGTTACAATACAGGACTTAATGGTAATTTGAAGTAAATGTCTCACAAAGTAATTAACGGAATTACGTGTTATGAAAACTTGGTACCGTATGGCCGTACCTTGCTTAATGAAAATATCCTTTGTATAAATGTACCCTTTTTCAATGTATGTGCTATGTAATGTATCATAAACTATACCTATTATAGTTTATCAACCAAGGGTAGTACGTAGTAATGTATGCAAACTATATTTAAAATAGTTTATTAAATGTTTGAATGTATCGTTAACGGAAATACGTGTTATTAAAACTTGGTACCGTATGACCGTACCTTGCTTAATGAAAATATCCTTTGTATAAATGTACCATTTTTAAATGTATGTGTTATGTAATGTATCATAAACTATACCTATTATAGTTTATCAACCAAGGGTAGTACGTAGTAATGTATGCAAACTATATTTAAAATAGTTTATTAAATGTTTGAATGTATCGTTAACGGAAATACGTGTTATGAAAACTTGGTACCGTATGGCCGTACCTTGCTTAATGAAAATATCCTTTGTATAAATGTACCATTTTTAAATGTATGTGTTATGTAATGTATCATAAACTATACCTATTATAGTTTATCAACCAAGGGTAGTACGTAGTAATGTATGCAAACTATATTTAAAATAGTTTATTAAATGTTTGAATATATCGGTTGTACTTTGATTATAATCACTTGTTATTCTTTATATTCAATATGTCCAAATCCATTTGTAAACTGATGTGTGTCCATATATTAAGATAAAATGACATATATTGCAATAACATATAATCATATAAAGATATATACCTTGCTCAACATGTTACAAGGTGAAATGAAATTGACAGCAACTTTTTGTTGAAAACAGTTTCTGTTACTGTTTTTAGAAAATTTATAGAAAAATCATCAAAGCTCCAAATCCAAATCCGCAAATTTTGAGAGTTTGGAATATGAGTCTAGTTTGTTTGTAAATTTTATCAAGATTTTTAGTGATCTCTAACAGAGGTGAAAATGTCCATAATCACAGACTGGTCCGGGTTTGCCTCTGAAATGGTAGGCAGTTTTGTAAAAATCACCATAAATTGTAGAAACATCATATGGGGATGTTCAAGTAGCCATTTTAAAGCTAAGAGTTTGAACTACTTGCACCTGGAACAGTTTTGAAAACTAAATTATTTAAGTTGACCAAAACAGTCTGTGATTGAAGTCTATCTTTTCTGATGTAATCTGTTAGAAAAAGTTTAATTGTGTTCTTGATGATTTTGCTTGTATTCCCCCCTTAAAAACTTAAGAAAACATGTAAATGTAGGGGTATGAACTCACCTTATATGGTTTCAGTAGATGAAAGTGATGACCCGGTTAAGGGTCGTGATGACCCGAATGATTACAAAAAGTTAAAGGAACTTTTGAGAGAGATT